AAGAACTTTAGAAGGAGCCATGGAAGCAATGAGAAGATGAATATGGTTGCATAGTGGTAGGGAAGGAGAACAGGATTAAACATCTGAACTGTGATTTAGGAAGAAGAGCCAAAGTTATTCACCTCTATCGGCCATTTATTGAAAATTTGCTAAGTATATGAAAGACATTGAGATAAGAACTTTTTCCTTCTTATCTCATTAAATCCTAACAAAATCTCCAGGAGGTATATGCTATCACTTCCCATCATATAGATGAGGAAGCTGAGGTTCCGTGGTTAAATAATTTGCCTATGGTTATATCTCTAGAAGGGGCTAAGGCTTGAGCCAATGTCTGACTCTAAAATATGTGTTCTGACCTATACACCCAGAAAAGGGTATGGTCCTCTAGGCGGAGAGAACATGTGCAAAGGCATGGACATGAGAGTACATAGGTATATCCATGGGATTTCAAGAAGGTTATTATAATTGTTCCTTAGTTTGGAAATGAGGAAGGACAGTAGGTGGTGCTGAACAGGGCCTTGAAGGACCTAGATTGTATTCCATGCTAATACACTTACAATTTAGCCTGAAGAGAGTGAGGGGGGTTGTTAAAGTATAGTGAGCAAAATAGTACACATTTGCATTTAGAACATTTTTTTCTGGAACCCTGTAGAATACAATGGGGCTGGGATGGGGAAATGTCCATGTTGGAGTCAGGGAACTACTTAAATAGCAGTGGTTCACGGGAGAAATGAGGAATGTCTAATTCATTCATACAACCAGCATTGCATTTAGGAACTATTAAATAGGCCGAGTCCACCTAAAATTCTCTATGGCTAAAAAGAGGGAAGAATCCAGCATGATTCTTAGGCCCAGTCTACTGGTATATAAGAGAAAATACTTTAGGGAGATGAGGATTAGTGGGAAAAGTAGGAAGAGGGAAAATTGACATTTGAACATGTCAACCTTGATGTAACAGTACTAGGTCCAAGTAGAAATGCTCAGCACACAGTTGGCTTTCCCAGGTCTGAAGGAGAAAGGTGGGACCTGGATAAATAAATGTGTGTAGGTAGTTAGAACCATGAATATGGGTACATTCTGGGGAGGGGGAGGCAGTGCTGACTATGAAGCCTTTAGGAACACTAATATTTATTGTCAATCACAGAATAGGTTTCAATAAGGAAAGGAAGCTGGGATGGGTGAACAAACAGTAGAAGGAAATTCAGAATCCAGAGATATAGTATAGAGGCCAAGGGACAGGCATAAGGAAGGATCTCCCACTGGCTCAAGAACTGTAGAGAAGTTGAGATAGAAAGTGAACCATACAGATGTGATTTTTCACAAGGGATTGTTGGTGGCTTTGGCAAGAGCTGTTATAGTGAAGCTGAAGGGCAGAGATGGCAGCCAGGTGGCAGAGACTTAAGAAATGAAACAAAGTGAAGAAATGCTTCTGTGTTATTATTTTGTGTTGCTAGGGACAAGAGAGAAAACGATGAGGGATTTCCTCAAGTTGGTGAATATTTGACATGTTTTTAAGTGTTTAAAAACAAACAAAAGCAAAACCTATGTAAATGGAATAGGGGCATGTGGGAGGCTGATAATCAACTAGGAAAGTCCTTGAGGAGATTGATGGGTGGGGAGGCAAAAATAGAAACTACCTCTTAGGTAAAGGGATTCATTTCTGAAGAGGAGAAATGGGGGTGAGAGGAGAGGGAAGTGTGGATTGCTGGGGTTGCAGGTCAATTTTAAGGTGAGGATTATTAGAAGCTTCTGGTTTCTCATCTGGCACCACTGATGGACTCAATCTGAATTAAGAAATATGAAGAGAGGGCTGCTTTGGAGAGTATGGAGTAAGCTGCTGCAGAAGGAGTGTGATTTAAGGGCTGTTACAAAAAAGAGAAACTTTACATGGAACATGTGTAAAAAGATTGAAGACCACTCAAGTGGGCGGGGACTATGACACTTTTCTGTTGTTCCCCAGGTAGCAACACACATTTTCTTAGAAACCTGTAAGACTGTCTCTTCCTGCTCCTCCAGAGCACTTTGCTCATATAGGAAGGATCACACTTAAGTAATCCTGTGTTATAAAAAGTGCATATCAATCCCCCAAATGAGAATTGGAAGTTTGAAAAGGTAATTCATAGTCCCTGCCCCTTCCCCTGTCATTGTATCCACATATCAGATAATTTTCAATAAATGTTTGCTGCAACTTTAATAATTCTGTGCCATATATTGAGCCTTCTCTGTGCCATATATTGAGCCATATATTGGCCATCTTCATGACTGAGGAAGGAGATGGTTAGGTTAGTGATTGGTATTCACAGAGATTTTAGAGTCCAATATTTTTGACATTTAATGTAAAATAATTTTACATTTTATTTTTAATTTATTTGTAATGCTGGCATCATTGGTGGTTGTATTAATACCTTTCTATCTGATTTAGACTGCTGTAAGAATATCATGGTTTTTCAGAATTTTCTTACTCGTGTTAATTATTTGTGTTGTTTTATTTGTTCTGTTTCAAACATTTTCTTCACTTTGCTGTTCCATCAGAAGGCAGTAGACAAAAGAGAGAAAACCCAAATTAGATAATTTTATTACTTATAGTGTTTAAGTGTTTATAGAAGATGAAGTTTTGGTTAACAGTTGGTAGAGTGACACTTTTGGACTACCCTTATTTATTAATTATAATGCAAGGGTTATTCAAGTTATGGCTTATCCAGGTAAATTTTATTTGAATTTTATTAAGAGCACCAATTCTATTTAAATGGCTTCAGCTTTTATATTTTTGTATTTTACAAAAGAAATAATGCAGTGCAATTAGTACTTCCTCTATTCTGCAGGAAATCATTCTCTAAGCATAAGTTATGAAATTGTCAAATAAGCAAGCTAGCAAGATGGTAAGGCCATCTTGGCTTTTAAAGAACATTGAGAGAAAAGACATACATATATGCAATTAGTGATGCTGAAATGAATTAGTGAATATATGCAATTGGTCAACATCCTTAGGGAAATAAAATGTAATTTTTCAAACCTCTCTTCCACCAGCTGGAAATCCATTGCAGAACAAAGTTTATTTTCTCTCTATGGGACAGGAGTAAGTTGCATTACTCTCTGAGTTCTACAACTTACAAAACACAGTGAAAGGCACAGGCCCCTACAAAATCAGATATTCCCAAAGGATCTGTCAGATATTCCCCAGATCCCCACTGAAAGAACACTAATCCTTTTGTCCATTTCAAAATTGTGCACCATGTTTTCTGATATTTCCCTTATTTTCTAGTTCCAACATCACAACCACATTCTTCTCTCCCTGTTGTGCACTGTAGCCTCCCTCTCAATGCTTCTATCTCAGGGGAAATAATTCAGAACCCCATGATTTTGAAAAACACAATTGGAAGTCCAGGTTTTGGCTGGGGATCCTAATACAGGGATGGCTAGAAGTGTAGAGAACTGGGCAGAAGTGAGCTTGTGAACCACAAGCTTGGTTCAGACTGCAAATTCCCAGAAACATAACAATTTGCACCTCCCAGTCAGAGAAGGTTTAGATCATTGTGTAAAAATGCTGTTTTGCCCAGTTTTTAGAGTATTACCTGCATATGTACAGCACAGCATTGTTGAGAGGCCACTTGTCCATGTATTTACTCCTTTGATACTCACCACAATTCTGTGAAGCTGTCCGGTGTTCATTTCTGATCCTTTACTTGCAAAGAGTAAACCAAGACATGGAAAAGATACCTGAATTGCTTAAGGTCACACACTGACAAGGGACAGGTAGAATTTGTACTCAGGCTTTCTGAACCTTGTTCAGTTCATATTTCAAATGCATCCTAGCATTCAACTCAATGGGCATTTACCAAATACTATGTTCCTAGAATAATAATGTGTTATGACCCTGAGTTTTATTCCTAATTAATATAGAAGGAAGGAATTGTAAGGATGAACTATTAAAGTTGATATTTATATTTGTTAGTGCTTTGTTTTTTCAGGGAAAATCCAACTAACTACTTATATAAAAGAGTTCATAGATGGCTGAATAATATGGAAGAGAACTGCAATTTCTCCATAATCTTGCACATTTTAGGTGAAGGATGAGTGATTGCAATTACCTTCCCAACCCCTGTTTCATAAGACAACTGGTAGTTTATCATATTGAGAAGTGTTTAGTAGAATATACCTACTTATTAGCAATATCTGTTCTTGATTTCAACTGTTTCTTAGCTTTATGTTGAGTGGTTTATGGTTTTAGGAGGAAGGAATACTTGTAATATGCATTTGGTAATTGTTGTTCTGTAGTTTCAATGAATTGTGGGAGTTAGAAAAAGCCCTTCAATTATATATAACTCTTTATAATTATTTGCATATCAAATGTCCATTGCTGTCTGTATTTTGCAATGGGATATAGCCAGAGAATTTTTTTTCTCCTTAGCATTCCAAGGCTTCCCATCTTAGAGGAAAGATACGATGTGATTCATCCGATTTCCTTTTTATATTAAAGTACAGGATAGCTCACCACATTGCTTGGAAATGCAACCTAAAGATAGAGATAAACTTCATATGGGTCTAGCAAGTTCTGTTTGGAGGCAGTACATAGAATTTGAGACTGAATGTAATATTTGGTTTGATTTTCTGTTCAAAAATTTTCCATGCTAAGAACAATATTTTTCTACATACATCAGTGAGCAACAATGATTACTTCAAAGCTTCTGAAGCCAAATACTACACCTGCATGTTCCAAAACAGGTTGCTGAATTTTTTCCCAAGACTCTTGGTAATGTGTACTGTGTATTTCTGAGAATGAATAAAGAATAGTTACAATGGTGTCTACCATCTGTGCAGGTTAATATTAGAATAACGTGTTTCTCTTCTTCACCTGGCCTGCCTTCTCTCTGTAGCTGCACTGCTTACTTAAGGGGACAATTAAAGCATTGCTCTTTTATCTTAAGGATTTGTAACATTCCTAAGATCTTATGCTATGGAATTCAATAATAAAATAAAACTATTTTCTTTTTCTTTTCCAGATAAAACTCAGCTATTATTTACTACAATTGAATCTGTAGACTACACCATTTGCAATGAAACTCTTCTCACCATCCCATGCTTAGTCACTAATGTGGGGGCAATGAGCCTTAAAGAAATGTTTGTAAAGTGGAGATTGGGAGATAAACAAATTCTCTTCTATGATGGAGATAAAAATGAAACCAATCCCATCAGTGACTTTCCGAGTGCATACATCATACCAAATGCACTACTAACAGGCGATGCCTCTTTGATGATGGACAAGAGCGATGCTGTCCCAGGAAACTACACTTGTGAAGTAACAGAATTAACTAGAGAAGGCGAAACCACCATAGAACTAAAATATCATATTGGTAAGAATTTCATAATCTTCCCTTTTATTTGTCCTGCAGTGGCCTAATACTATGAGAAATGGGGCAAATTGGGTGAGGAACTCCTTTGAATGAAAAAGTAGATTATGACTAACAGATGATTATGTAATGTTTAGCAGCTTTAAGATCATGAGTTTTACTTTCTCTTCTACTTTTCATAATAAAACTCCTTTGCTGTTTGTTATTTGCATATTATCAGGTTCTCATACTTTTGTTCTGAGCACTATTCTGCTAGTGTAGGGGTCCTAGTTTCATTTAATTTGCATTTCTGTTTGCTGCTCTCAAAAGTACTATCTTTCATGTAATTAATATTCCATGATCTTTCCAATGACGTAGCTTTTTTTATTACCTGCACTTTGGTCAAGGACTGACAAATCCCAGCCATGCTCCAGCTGGAAAGGATAAATTAGAAGGAGAATCACAAAATCAAAAATCAGGTCATAATGATGTTTCCTGCTATGGTGTTTGTTCTTTTTCTTGGTCAAGATGAGGGAGAGCTAGGGATCCAATAGAATTAATTTGAATTCAGTCTTGGTTATAGCACCATGATCGTGCCTTTCTTCACAGACTTGGGCTGGGGAGTTGCATAAAGCAGTAAAGCTAGCTGAAGTAAACAATCTGCTTTCTTTCTAGTCCTTGCCATGCCAGCTGATTACTTTAACCACATACAGGTGCATACTGACTTTCTATTTTGAAAGCTCTATTTAGAACCACTAGTCATATTACTGCTCTCAGGATTAGACAAGCCTTTGAGAACCTCTGCTTTAGATGGGATTAGACCATTCAGTTGAATCAACTATTTGCCTTCTATTCTTCTAGCATTTCCTGTTATAAAATGTCTATTACCAGATTGGGAATGGGGTGTTTATTCTGATGGAATACTTTGACATTGTTTAGGATTAGGAATCAGGATATCTGATTCTGCAACTTAACCATTTGCCTCTATTGAACTTGAGAAGTTACTTCACTGGGTCCAAATTACCTCATCTCTACAATGGGGATGAAAAGAGATTCCTGCTTCATGTGTTTTCTCCAGTCTAACAAGCATCATGAGATCGCTTGTGTACCAGTCCTTTGCAAACCAAAGTACAGTACTTTACAAATGTTAGCTGTCATCCTGGGACATTTATTTTATGAAGTTGAATGAGATGTTGAAGCTGGGGTGTCATGAGAGGGGTTCTGTGTGGTGCAGCATGGGCAGGAGATGGCTAAGAGCAGAATTTGGAAGGCTTTTCTGCTCAAAAATCTCTCCATATTGAAAATCTCATTAACTCACAGTGGGAGATGGTGTTTATGGAGTAGAGTGTAGGTCACTGAGAGAATTGTAAACTCGAGAGTTAAAGGCCATGAGATGGGATGAAGGTGGATGGGAAAGGGATTCCAATCTCTGGGATAAAGACAAAATTTGTAATTTTCTGTGTGATTGTTTCATCTTTGTTTTCAAAGTCCCCTGATAAAATATGAACTATGGTTACTGTTGGGGCCGTTAAAATGTGAAAGTGGTGTTTTGTTCTAGAGAATATAGAAGATTCTACCAGAGTCTCAGACATTTGCCTGTGCACCCATTTTTATTTTTTGAAAGAGTTATAGAATCACATGAAGTTTCAAAGATTGAATAGAGAGGTGCTGTGTACTCTTACCCAGCTTCCCCCAGTGGTTACATTTTATGTAACAGTAGTTAAATGCCAAAACCACCCAGTTCACAATAATACAATGGGTACATATTTCTTTTTCTTTTTATTACATGTGTATATTGCTGTAATGACCACCACAATCAGAATGTAGAACTATCCCATTAATATATATATCTGCCTCATGCAAGTCCTTTATAGGCACCTGCTCCCTTACTATCCCTAATCTGTTAAGCACAAATTGTTCTCCATATCAATACTTTGGTAATTTCCAAAATTTTATGTATAAGTATGTAATCTTTTGAGACTGGCTTTTTTTCCAGTCAGCACAATGTCTTTGAGATCTATTATAGATCTGTTATAGACCCCTATCTATTATAGACCCCAATCATGTCATGCAACAGCATCATTAGCAATTTCTCTCTCTCTCTCTCTCTCTCTCTCTCTCTCTCTCTCTCTCCCATGCTATGGGTATATCACACCTTATTGAACCATCCACCCACTATAGCACATCTTGGTTGTTTTCAGTTGTTTTGTGCTACTGCTTATGACATTTCTATAAACCATCATGTACAGTTTTTTATGTGGACATAGTCTTCATTTCTCTGGATAAATGCATAGAACTACAACTCCTGGATTGTATGTATGTATAGGCTTAGTTTTTTAAGAAACTGCCTAACTGTATTCTATCACACCTTATTGAACCATCCACCCACTATAGCACACCTTGGTTATTTTCAGTTGTTTTGTGCTACTGCTCATGACATTTCTATAAACAATCATGTACAGTTTTTTATGTGGACATAGTCTTCATTTCTCTGAATAAATGCATAGAACTACAACTCCTGTATTGTGTGTATGTATAGGCTTAGTTTTTTAAGAAACTGTCTAACTGTATTCCAGAGTGGTTTTTCCATTGTACAGTCCCATCAGCAACATATGAGTGATGTAGTTTCCCCACATCCTTGCCAGCATCTGGTATTGTCATAGTTTTGCACCATTTTTTAAGGGAATAGAAAGAAATTCTTCTGCCCAAAACGGTTAATTGAAGCAGGGTTCTTACAAATTTATTTTGATGAATTTACCCATCATGTGAATCCTGGGGATTTAGGCAATGGAATCAATTTTTACTATGTTGTGCTTTTTTTTTTTTTTTGCAAATCCTATATAATAAAAGCCTAATATGCTAAGTGTCTGGTCATCCAGTCATCCGTTCAACTAATGAAAGCGTAATATTCTAATGATATGCTAAGGCCACTCAACCACTTGCTATGACATGCACTGACCACCAGGGGGCAATCGACTGGTCAACCGGTTGCTTGATGTGCACTGACCACAAGGGGGCAGACACTCTGACAGGTAGGTTAGTTTGCTTCTTGTAGCTTTTTGGGACTGAGAGAGATGGGCTAGACATGCCCTGCTGCCCTCCCACAGTCCCTCCCTGACCCCAATCATGCACTGGTGGGGTCTCTGGTCCTGACCTGTGCCCTCTCACAATCTGGGATCCCTCATGGGATGTTGGAGAGCGGGTTTCGGCCCAATCCCGCAGGCCATGCTGAGGGACCCCACTGGTGCATGAATTCGTGCACTAGGCCTCTAGTATAGACATAAATGACAACTAGAAATTGCTTAATAGAGAATTCTACCTAGTAGAATGTGGATTAATGGTGGCCAATCTTTGTTTTCTTTTCGGGTGTGCTTAGAGGGGTATCAAGATGCAGTTTGGGTCATACATACTTAAGATCCTTAATTCACTGTATCTCCATTTTTTCAGTGGTAAGGAGGGGTTCATAATTCTTCATATAATAATTATAAGGATTGGGAAGTTAATGTTTCCAACTCAAAACCAAATAATAAAGTGGGTAGAGGAAAAGAAGTTAATTAAAAATAGTCAGTAGATTATAGAGCTTTTACTAGATCCTTCAGTCATATGAAAACCTACGCATAATTCAGAAAGGTTTTTCGTATAGGATTTTTAGGCTGAATGGAAATGGGCTTCCTTTGGTATAGGAAGAGATTCAGTAATTCAGTTGTAAATTAAAGTGGCATTGATTCAGGGTACCTGAAAATATCAATCTCTTGGTGGATCTGCAACCATGGGAGCATCACAAAAGCTTGTCTTCTATTCACTCAATATTTCAACCTATGACTATATCAACCATCAATAATAAACGTATTGAGTCTCTGCCATGTACAGGGCAAAATGCTGGAATCTGGAAAGCTACTATCTCTAAGATAAGAATTGATAGTGTTGTTATATTCTGGGGATGACTGTGAACATTTACCAGAGTTCAGCGTTATAAGCTTAACCCAAGAAATGTGTGACTAGCATTATGGTGTGAAAGCCCACAAGGATCCTCACATGCGGATACAGTGGAGATTTTGAAAGGGATCATTTCAGAGCAACGCCAATGCTTGCCTTGTGCACTATTCAGAAGTGTTCCTCACCCAGCAAGTCTTCCAGTCTAGGCCAACTCTGAAAGGCTTTCAGTGCATATACCTGGCTTTATTGTTACAGGAGAAATTTCATCAATAAAAATATAGCCTTAAGCATTGATCAGATGCAATTAAACATAATTTTTAAAAGTTCTCAGCAAATTTCATTAGAAGTCTTAATATCACAATTTCCTTCCTATAGGATGGGTAGCTGCATTTTCATTGTTTGGGTAACACATGTTCCACTTGATAGAAGCTTCCTTACTACCTAAAGCTCCTCATGTTATTTTTTGTCAGCAGTCATTTTAAGATTAATTATTTACGAATTCATCCTCTGTTCCAGAGTAAGTTTCAGAAAAGCTCAGGCTCACATCTGTCTTACTCTTAGGTCACAATAAGACCAAGGGTAGGGTACCCAGTTGTACTACTTCCTCACTCCTATCCCCTGAGTCAGTCTTTACAGGAAGATAACTCTTCCTTTGAGGTAAATTCTTGGCACATTACACATACAGGCAGTCACTACAGGACCCCATAATAATAACTGTAGTTAGTGTTCACTGAGCACTTTGAGGGGTCAAGCTTTGTTTTTAGCCATTTTCATATCTTAATTTTGTTAACAGTTAACTACAGTCCTTCAAGGTGTCATTACTTGTTGTAGCCACTGAAGAACAGAAAGGTGTTAGACTGTCCAAGATCACACAAATTGCAAGTTAGAGTTGTGTTTCAAACCCAGGAAATGTGGCTGCGGAGCCCTTTTCTTAGCTCTTGGGGTATACTACCTCTTTCCATAAATCACAGCTTAAGGAAAATGTGGTGGAAAATACTTAACTTTTTTTTGTTTCATTAATATTTGTTATTTAATTAAATATATCTGTAATTATTTATGTATTTATATAAGACCAAAGTTTTAACTTATTATTTTAATTTTCCATCTCCACAATAAATAACACTGTTGACCATTAATTGGCTGGACATAAATTTATGATATAAATATTAATCATGATTTTTGTGGGGTTTTTTTCTTCCCAGCTTTATGGTTTTCTGCAAATGACTATGTGCTTACTATTATTTTCCCAATGTTGGCTGTCCTTCTGTTCTGGGGAAGTGATATTGTGAGTAAGTACTTGTTTCTATTTTCATTTATGTTTTAGTGATGAAATTGTCATTTTAAGGAGGCAATATTGGTGAAATATTCTATTTAAGTTGTATTAGGAAATGTGATAATGTCATAAATAAGAACAAACAGAAATTAATGGTGGTGGAGTAATTGGGTGCTGCAGGGACAAACTCCCAGGACCAAACTGGAACTACAACTAAAATACAGAATATATTCCTGCATAATCAACAGAAGACTCACTGGAGAGAATCCAGATAAATGAGGATGGAAAGTGGAGACCGCATAGAGACTGGTAGGAGGGGCGGAGTCATGAAAGGACTGGCTGGGCTCCCACAGACTGTAACTAAAGTTATGGAGAGATATCTCAACTGTGGGGTTTGCCACTGAGAACTCTAGGGTCTAATCCTCAAGCTTGGCACTCCAGGAGAGAGCATCAGAACTGAGAAGGGTATCCACATAACATAAGGCTGTGAAAAGCAGCGGGGTTGCTGTCTGCTAGGGAGAAATGGCTGGAAATGCAGGTACCCTACTAAAGGGCCAATGCACAAAATTCTCTGTGGAGTGACTCACCTTGTGGTCCAGAAGAGGGAGGACAGAGTGGACTGGAGCTGTGTAAGCAAAAGTGAGGATCAGGAGCTCTGGGGTTAGAACTCAAGAGGCAGACAACTTGGTTTCTGGAGCTGAGTCATTCCCTCATGCTGCAGGAGTCATCTTTCTTATGCAGACATTTTTATACAGGCAGCTGTGCCTGTAGGGAAGATAGGTGACCCACCCTATTTGAAAACACCTTACCCCATGGTGCAGAGTTTCTGAGGCCATTTAAGAGAATAATAATTATCCTCCTGGCAGGAGCAATTGCCCCACCCTGTTGGAAAAAAAACCCCACCAGACCCATGGATGATTGCCTGAGAGCTATTCAAGAGGCAATCCTATCAGTCTGTAGCCAGAGGCAGTCTCTGGAGGCTTTGAGTCTTTTCCTGATCTAATTAGTCAGAAACAGTGTTTGACACTGGCCTGCAATAGAGATTTAAAGGCATAGCAGATCTACCTAATACATAGTCACAAACCCAAACAGGAAGACAAAATGAGGAGACAAAGAAACAACCCCCAATGAAACAACAAGAGAATTCTCCAGAAGAAGAGATAAATGAAATGGAGATAAGAAATTTATCTGATACAGAGTTCAGAATAATGATGGTAAAGATTCTCAACAGCATAGTAACTATGAAAACAGAAATAAAGAATGATATAGCACAAATAAAGAACACATTGGAAGGAATACACAGCAAATTAAGGGAAGCTGACAACTAAATCAGTGAATTGGAAGACAGGGTTGAAAAAAAATCACTCAATCAGAGGACCAAAAATAAAAAAAATAAAACAATTAAAAAATAGGAGGACAGCTTAAGAGAGCTGTGGGATAACATGAAACCAAACAATATTTAAATAGCAGTGCCAGAAGCCAATTCTAACATGTTATAATTTCAAGAGTTTCATCGAAAGGTTGATGGAACTTGGGAACTCAACAAGGGCTGAGTCACATATGTTGTCACCTGTTGGGAATGGCTGATGGCATTTCCCTAAACAGGGATGATTGTTTGCTGCCAGGCAGCTCAGAGCATCTTAATCTACATGTTATTGCCTCCTCCTGGCCAAACACCTGAACAGCCATAGGCTAATTCCCCCATTCTGACAATGCCTCTGTATAGGAAACTCTAACCCTTTGAAGTGTATATCTCTGCCTTGCCTCAGGACAATTTGTGTTAATAAAAAGCATGGGGTCCTGAGACAAGGAGATCTTAGTTCTTTTTAGCTAAGTTCCTCTGACTCCCATATGCCTTTCAAAATTATATTTTGTCTCTTAACTATTTAAGTTACACACAGCCTTTCTCCATATTGCTGAACCCTTCTTAATGCCGGAACAAAAACCCCGGCATAGCAGGTGTGCCAGAAGAGGCAAAGAGGGAGAAAGGGATAGAGAACGTGTTTGAAGAAATAATGGCCAAAAACTTCCCTAACCTGGTAAAGGAAAATGGCACACAAGTACAGGAGGTACAGAGAACCACAAGCAAGAAGAACCCAAACAGGCCCATGCCCAGACACATCATAATTAAAATGCCAAAAGTTAAAGGCAAAGAGAGAATCTTAAAGGCAGCAAGAGAAAAGCAAACTGTTACCTACAAAGGAGTTCCCATAAGGCTGACATCTGATTTCTCATCAGAAACTCTACATGACAGAAGGGAATGGCATGAAGCACTCAAAGTAATGAAAAGCAAGGATCTGAAACCAAGATTAGTATATCCAGCAAGGCTATAATTCAAAATAGATGGTGAAATAAAGAGCTTCCCAGGGGGAAAAAAAAAGGCTAAAGGAGTACATCACCACCAAGCCAGCATTACAAGAAAGGCTCAATGACTGTTGTAACATGGAGAGAAATAGAGAGAGAACCTAGGCATACAGAATTAAAATGGCAATAAATAAGTACCTATCAATAATAACCTTAAATTTAAGTGGATATGCTCCAATAATCAAAATACATAGGGTAGCTGAATGGATACAAAACATGACCCAACTATATGCTATCTACAAGAGATCCACCTCAGAACAAAAGACTCACACAAGATGAGAGTGAAGTTATGGGAAAAAATTTTCCATGCAAATGCAAAAGGAAAAAAAAAGCTGGGTTAGCAATACTCATGGCTGACAAAATAGACATCAAAATGAAGGCCATCACAAGAGACAACAAATGTCACTATATAATACTAAAGGGATTGATCCAACAAGAGGATATAACCTTGGTAAACATATATGCACCTAATATAGGAACAACTAAATATATTTTAAAAATACTTATAAAGAACTTTAAGAGAGAGATTGACAACAACACAGTTATTGTAGGAGAGTTTAACACCCCGCTGACTTCACTGGGTAGATTTCCCGACAACAAATTAACAAGGAAACAGTGACTCTAAAGGACACACTGGATCAGATGGATTTAATTGACTTTTGTAGAACATTTCACCACAAAGCTACAGAATATACATTATTCTCAAGTGCACATTTATCATTCATAAAAATAGACCACATGTTAGGACATGAAACAAGTCTCTACAAGTTAAAGAAAATTGAAATCATATCAAGCATCTTTTCAGATCACAGTGGAATGAAATTAGAAATCAACTACAGTAAAAACACCCCCCCCAAAAAAATTCAAACACATGGAGCCTAAGTAGCATGTTAGTAAACAATGAATGGGTTACCAACGAGTTCAGGAAAGAAATAAAAAAACATACTGAAAACAAGTGAAAATGAACATACAACAACCCAAAATCTCTGGGACACAGCAAAAGCAGTACTGAGAGGGAAGTTCATAGCACTACAGGCCTACCTCAGAAAACAAGAAAAACTTTCAATAAGCTATACAACCCTACAATTTAAAGAATTAGAAAGAAAACTACAAGAAAAGCCTTAGTAAGTAGATGTAAGGAAATAATAAAGATTAGAGCAGAAATAAATGGCATAGAGACTAGACTAAAAAAAATAATAATAAAAATAAAATAATACAAAAAAATCAATGAAACCAAGAGCTGGTTCTTTGAAAGGATAAACAAGATTGATGAACCATTAGCCAGACTCATCAAGAAACAAAGAGAGAGGACACAACTAAATAAAATCAGAAATGAAAGTGGTGATGTAACCACTGACACCATAGAAATACAAAGAATTGTAAGAAAATATTATGAACAATTATATACCAACAATTTGGACAATATGGATGAAATGGATAAATTCCAAAATAAATACAATCTTCCAGAACTGAATCAGAAAGAATCAGAAAACCAGAATAGGCCAATAATAACTGATGAAATAAAAGCAGTGATTAAGAAAAACTCCCAGCAAACTAAAGTCTGGGTTAGATGGCTTCAGAGGGGAGTTTTACCAAACATTCAAAGAAGAATAAACACCTATCCTCCTCAAATGATTCCAAAAAATCCAAAAGGAAGGAATTCCAACAAGCTTTTTTTATGAGGCCAGCATTATTCTAATTTCAAAACCAGAGAAAGACACTACAAAGAAAGAGAATTATAGGCCAATATCCCTGATGAACATAGAGGCTAAAATCCTCAACAAAATATTAGCAAATTGCATTCAGCAATATATTAAAAAGATTGTACATCAAGACCAAGTGGGATTTATTCTGGGGTTGCAAGGCTGGTACAAAATTCGCAAATCAATAAAAGTGATACATCACATAAACAGATTGAAAAATAAAGATCACATGATCATATCAATAAATGCAGAAAAAGCATTCAACAAAATCCAACACACATTTTTTAAAATTTAATTTTATTATTTTTTAATACTCACCCAAGGATATATTTTCATTGATTTTAGAGAGAGTGAGAGAGGGAAAGACAGAAAGAAACATTGATGTGAGAGAAACACATCTATTAGCTGCCTCCCACATGTGCCACAACCAGGGCCAGGGCCTGGGAGGAGCCTGCAGGTAAAGTATATGCCCTTGACCAGAACTGAACCTGGGACACTTTATTCTTTAGTCCGATGCTTTGTATACTGAGCCAAACCAGCTAGGGCCCAACACCCATTTTTAATAAAAACTCTCAGCAAAGTAGGAATAGAGGGAACATATCTCAACATGATAAAGGTCATACATGACAAACCTACAGCAAACATCATATTCAATGTGCAAAAACTGAAACCATTTCCCCTAAGAACAGGAATAAGACAGGGATGTCTGCTTTTACCACTCTTATTCATCATAGTACTGGAAGTCCTAGCCACAGCGAGCAGACAAGAACAAGAAATAAAAGGTATCCAAATTGGAAAGGAGGAAGTAAAACTCTCATTATTCTCAGATGACATGGTATTGAACATAGAAAACCCTAATGATTCCATCAAAAAACTACTAGATTTAATAAATGAATTTGGCAGGATACAAAACTAACACCCAAAAATCGATGGCTTTTTTAAACACCAA